CTTGGTTTCCAGGGTTCAAACCGGGCGGCGCCATCAGAGCCCCTGGACTGGGCCCAGCCCGGGGGTCCCGCCCGCTGAGAATTTGACCTCTGACCCGACGCTCTGTAGCGCAGACGCCAATTTCCCGGATCCTCACTCCCCCCGCCCCCCGCCCCTACTGAGCCTCCCGCAAGGTCTGGGGCAAAGCCTGGCTGCCAACAAGGGGATGCGCACCTGAGCCTCATCCAGGGCTGCACCTGTGGGAGCGGGTCCCGCACCTGAGCGAGCCCCGCAGCACCTGGGGGGCTGCGAAAACCCGCTTTCCCTCCCCCAGCTCCCGGGGCGGAGGCTCTGGGAGGGGCCATGGAATTTGCATTTCTAAGGGGTCTCGGGTGACGCCCCTGAATACCTGGGAGAGGGGCCCACCTGACCATAAAGCGCTCCCAGACCCCAGCCCATCCGGCGAGGACGCCTTCCCTGTCTCTGCAGCCCCACAACCTACCGCAAGGCTCGCGTGCAACAAGCTCCTCATAAATATTTGGGTTAATCACGACTGTTCACGGTGTCAGCGTTTACAGATGTTTGGGGGTGCCTGGCGCTTGTCTGGCTACATTCGGAGTAACAGTCCATTGAATACCAGCCACGACCTGGGACGTTAAAACAAAATCCCCATTTTACTGGAGCCTCGGGTGGGGGGTGCCAGGCACTGGGGTGGAGAGAGGAGACGCAGGGAAAGTCTTGCACGTGGGAGCCCAGGTCTGCCAAGGCTAACCTGGCGCAAACTGTCTTAAAGAAATAGTAAGGGCTCGGCCAGTGTCGCTCAATGGTTGAGCGTTGACCTATGAACCAGGAGGTCACGGCTCTTCCCCATCAGGGCACATGCCCAGGTTGCGGGCTTGATCCCCAGTGTGGGGTGTGCAGGAGGCAGCCAATCGATGATTCTCTTTCATCATTGATGTTTCTATCTCTCTCTCCCCCTCCCTTCCTCTCTGAAATCAATTAAAAAAAAAAAAAAAAAAAACAACAACAACAGTAGGGAATGGCTGGGCTCTCCCCGCAGGTAATGGTGGGAAAGGGAGGGAAGGCCCACACCCTGGAAGGTGCATCCTGCACACCCCTCATGTCCACCTTGGCCAGTCATTGGCGTTGGGGTGCCTGAGGCTGGGAGAGACCCAGCTCCCCCAGTGCCATGCTGTTTTCACTAATGTCCCCCCCAAACCTTTCTGAAGGCTCCAGAACCCCACACCAGGGTCTAGGGGGCTCAGATTCCAGAAAAGTCTACTATTTAGGGTCAAGAGGGATACCTGTCCAGCCAGTGGGGGTGGGGTGAAGGACCTGGGCCTTCTAGGTGCAGTCATAGCCTCACCTGGAAGGAAACTGTCTCCCAGGCAACACCCGGTAAGGGAAGAGCACCCTAGAGAGCCAAGGGCACCCCCTTCTAGGTGATTGTGGGGCCCATGCTTCTGTGTTCCGACTGTTTCATCCTCAAGTTCTGCACACTGCTAGGTGTTCCTGGGCCACATCGTAAAAAGATTTACAAGACTATGTTAAACTGGCAGTAAAAACAATTACCTTTAATGGCACCTCGGGTGGGTGGCTGGGTGGGTGGGAGGGAGGGCCGCTGCCTCCTCCTCTCCTGACCAAGAAGCCAGGTGAGAAAGGGACCTGCTATCAGGTGGCACTTTGGCTCAGAGGTTCAAGGTCAATGGAGGCGAGGGCTGGGCATGAGGCCAGAGAAGAGCTCAAGTCCTAGTGACTCTTCGCAGCTGCGTCCTGAGCAGGCCTGGTAGCCACCCCAAGACTCCGTGTTCTCTGTGAAGTAGGGATCTATGGAATGGGAACGTGTTTTAAAAATCTATGAAGCCCTGGCAGGTTTGTCTCAGTGGTTAGAGCACCGGCCCGAGGACCGAAGGGTCTCGAGTTCAATTCCTGTCAAGGGCACCCACCTCAGTTGCAGGCTCAATCCCTTGCCCCAGTCCAGGCATATGAGGGAGGCAACCAATCCATGTGTCTCTCTCAGATCAATGTTTCTCTCTCTCTGTCTCTCGCCCTCCCTTTCACTCTGTCTGAAAATCAATGGAAAAAATATCCTCAGGTGAGGATTAACAAAAAAAAATTTTTTTTATTAAAATGGGAATGTGTGAAAAACAAAGTCTCCTTCTCAGCCTTGTGAGAATGAAAATGACAGGTTTTTGGAAGTGCTCCCACCCTGCCCGGCATATACATGCATCTGTTATCTGTGTGTGAGCGTGAATGTTTGATGAACGTTAGTTTCTAGAAGACGCAGGCTCCCCGGGTGTAAAATGAAGTGAAAAGACCAGGCTGTTGCCTCCTTGTTCAGAATCGTGGCTGAGCCAGCACCACTTACATGTAGGTTTCCTGCTAACATTGACCTGCTTGTCCGGCCAGTGACCTCGGAAGTGACCCCGTGCTCGGGCTGGCTGCAGCCTCAGGCTTTGAAACCGGCCTGGCTCTCTGGAGCTCCTGAAAGGAAATGAGAGTGGCGGGGAGTTGGGGGCAAGGTCTCTGCTGGCCATGGGCCCCGGTCCAGTCCGGAAAGCCCTAATCCTGCAGGTCGCGCTGGCCTGGAGACAATTAACTGTCCGCTGCAGAGACCTCTGTCCGAGTCTGTGTGTGGCCTCTCAGGCAGCCAGGAGCGGGGGATGCGGGACACCACCCGCTGGCCTGCTGCTCGGCTCTGGGCAATTGGTAGGGAAGTAGGAGGAGGCAGATGTCCTCATCTCTCCATCCTCCTGCCCCAGGGGCCAGCTCTGTGAGCTGCGGCAGAGGCTGGCCCTGCCTGAGACCTGCTCCCCTCCTTGCTGGAACCTCTTTAGCCCCATCCATGGGGCCTCAGGCCCTGCCTCTCTCTGGTCAGCCCCCTGGGGGGACATCACCAGGCACACACTGTGCGTGAAGGTGTTTCCAGAAGACAGTAGCATTGAATCAGCAGACCGAGCTCTAGCCAGTGTGTTCAGTGGTTAGAGCATCGGCCCTCCGACTAAAGGATCTCAGGTTAGATTCTGGTCAAGGGCACACACCTCCGTTGCAGGCTCGATCCCTGGCATCATTCTCCTTGACAGTGATATTTTTAGGAATCAGCCAATGAATGACAGGGGGACGGATAGATGGGGCAGAGGAGGGTTGGGGGAAAGTTCTAGAGAAGATTTCCATGTTATTAAAAAGTCAAAGAGGAAGAAATCATCCCTCTTTATCTAATAATGCTGCTGTATGTGGATGTGAGGCCGGGCACTGCACAGCCATGTTGTGACAATGAGGAGAGGTGACCGGAGGACAGAGCCCATCTGCTGGGAATGGCAGAGGGAAAAACAGGAAGAACTTACATTTTTTATGACTTTTCGAACCATCAAATTAACTCTCCTTACTTTTGAGCTCTTGCGATGTGAAACACACACACACACACACACACATGATCTTTATAACTTCAGGCCGTTGAGTTGGGGTTCATATATGATAACAGATGCACCTTTTCTATCCCAGAGGGTGATCCTGATGGGTGCTCTCTGGTGGCTTCTGCTAAGCATCCTTGGGCAGGTTGGGCGGAGGGATGACTCCCCTCCAGCAGCGCCCCAGCGCTATCCTCCCAGGTGTCCAGGTGGGATGTCAGGCCTGGCTTCTACTCCAGCAACCGGACTCTACGCCCAGGTCGGAGAAGACCGGTCAGTTTCCACCCGATTCTCCTGGAACCCTTGTTCCCGGTCTTCCTCAGAGCCCAGTCACCCGGATGTGAGCAATCCCCAGGAGCAGGAAGAGGCCTTGCAGAGTTGAGTTGTTCCAATCAGCGGTCCCAGCCGAGCCCAGCCTTTGATGGGCCAGGCCCAGTGCCCGACATGTGAGCGAACCACCTCGGATCGGTTTTGGAGGTTTGTTGTGGATCCACAGATAACCAATACAACGACCTTCACCAATCTGAGCCTAAGTGTGGGTAGGAACACCTGCCAAAGGTCATCCCGGAAGTGAATGGGCCGCACGCGTCGCAGATGGTCAGGCCCTGGCCCACCAGATGCGAGAGGCTGGAACACGCGGCCGAGAGAGGCTGGGAGCAAGACAGGCACCCTGAGACTCTCGACACCTGACTGCCTGCTCCCTCTCGCCACACCCCAACGCTCCATCTAGATCTCATTCCCAAAAGAAACCTGCACAATACACGTAACCCTCCACGACCAACTGTCCTTTCCATCCCAATCAAAGAATTAATTTCCAGAGAGCAAGACTGCCAACAGCAGAAATAAATCACGGCTGGGCAGGAGACAAACATTATCCAAAGAAAAATAATTTAGCAAAAGTCTCTCCCCCTCCTTCACGCTGCCCTCCAACCCAATAACAATTCAATTATTCGGCCGCCACTATACATGATGAAACGGCCACATGGCCTGCTGGGTGGGAAGGGCGAGGGAAAGGAGATGAAAGCCATGCAGGACATGCTGAGCAACACCGACAAGAAGCAATGGGGGTGCCCCTCCCCGGGACGTGGGGGAAGACATCACAGTGATCACGCGCATGGGCATGGGCGTAACACTGTTACCTGAGGCTTTCACGTCCATTGCCGCGTCTGACCCTCAAGAAGGAAAGATGTTGGCCGAGATGCTGTAACCCAGCCTCACTGGGCAGACACAGGAAGAGGCGCCCGGCAAACCCTCCAGACTCGAGGGAGTGAGCTCCCCGTCTGGAGGGAGAGCTGAGCGGCTCATTTATTCCACGACCATTTTGAAAGCTGGTTTTGTAAAAGGCACGCGACCAGGTTCTGGGGATACATCCGTGAACAAAATTAACAAAAATGTCCAGGGAGCATATATGTCAATATGAAAAGAAATAACATTTTAAAAATAAACACGTACCCGGCCGGCGTGGCTCCGTAGTTGAGCGCCGACCTATGTGAACCAGGAGTTTTCGATTCCCGGTCAGGGCACGTGCCTGGGTTTCGGACTCGATCCCCAGTGTGGGGCGTGCAGGAGGCAGCCGATCAAGGATTCTCTCTCATCATTGATGTTTCTATCTCTCTCTCCCCCCCTCTCTGAAATCAATAATATGTATATAGTAAAAAAAATAAAATGAACATAAGAAGTAAGGGCATGGAGTGGCTTGTTAAAAGGCAAGAAGGGCCATGATAGAAACGAGAGTGAGGTAAGAGGGGCGAGGAGAGGGGGGTGTGATTTTGGGATGGGGTGGACAGCGAAGGCCTCAGTGAGAAGGGAGCATATGTGCAAAAGCTTGAAGGATATGAAGGCATGAGTGCCACCCGCACCAGCTTAGGGAAACAGCACATCTGCTGAGGAAACAGCCAGCCCGTTGCTGTAGGCTCCCGGCTTATCGCTGGTAACTGGTTCTCTGTTTCAGAGGCTTTGATAGGAGCAGATACTAGATCCAGGAGTTTGGAGGCGTGGAAGGGATGCAGGAAGCGAAACCAGCAGGTCCAGGGCTCTTTACAAAGAGCATCCCTCTAAAGGAGCAAAGACCATTGGGCAGGAGTGAGAAGCGGGTGGGGGACAGGCAACGGCTGCTGGAGGGCTTTGTTTTCGTTTGGACTGTCCCACCATTCGAGCGCATTGTGAACGAAGCCAGCTGCAGTCGTTACATGGTAGACGACTCCATTTATTAGGGGGCATTCTGAAAACGCTTCAGTCATTTTCTGGGGCTGGGGTGGCAGGGGGACTCAAAAGGAGCACAGGGTTTGGGGGTTGGGGGGATGATGGGAATGTTCTAGATCTCGATAGATCTCGATCCTGGCAGTGGTGACGTAACTGTAGGCATTGATCAGCTCATAGAACTCTACACGGGAACAGCTGGATTTTACTGTACCTAAGTTATGTTCCCATTTAAAACAATTCAAGAAAAATGCCAAAGTGGAGAGGAAGAAACAAGTGATACTTTAGAGAAAGGGTTAAGTACCAGATGCAAACGAGATGATTGGGAACCCAAACCTACCCCTTACCAGCTGAGTGACCTTGAGCGAGTTCATTGATGAGCCTCAATCTCCCCATCTGTGAAATGGGCATCATGATCCTTAGAACTGTTTGCAACGATTGTGAGATGATCTATGTCAAGTGCCTCCCAGGGAGCCTGGCTTACAGGAAGTGTTCAAATCTCCATTCATCTTCCTCCCCTTCTCCTGAAATTATAAGTTCCACCAGGTACCCCAAACCCTAAAATTTGTATTCCAGTCCTAGGAACTTACAGACGACAAAACAACAGACAAGACCACTTTGGGCATCTTCTCCAGCCCCTTTCCAAGAGCTATCTCATTCATTCCTCCGCCCCCTCCCCGCCCCCCCCCCCCCCGGGTCCTGCCGTGAGGCTAGTGATTCCTATCACCAACCTCTGAGCCTGCCTCTCAGATTCCCGTGGTGTCACATCGCTAAGCAGGCTTCAACTCACATCCAGTCCCCTCGAAGAGAGACCACAGATATGGAGTTCACCCAACAGACTGTAAGAACTGGAGAGAGTCCTGGTCTTGGGTGCGGGCTTTGAATGGACACGGGACAAAGAAAATCCTGACACCGTCGCCAGCGATGTGTCTACGCTGCCACTCATTGTCCCTCACTCTGATGTCCCCAGCTGGACACCCCCCCCCCCAGTCCTGCAGGGGTGGCAAAGAAGAGTGGTAAGAGAACAGCATCTTGGTGGTCCCTCTCACCTCCTCTCTTTTTGTTTTTCTGATTTTTAATCCTCACCCAACAATATTTTTCCATTGATTTTTAGAGAGAGTGGAAGGGAAGAGAAGAAACAGAGAGAAACATCGATATGAGACAGACACATCAATTGGTTGCCTCTCGCATGCACCCTGACCAGGGCCAGGGATAGAGCCTGCAGCCGAGGTACGTGTCCTTGACTGGAATTGAACCCGAAACCCTTCAGTCCACGGGCTGATGCTCTAACCACTGAGCAACCAGCCAGGCTCACCTCCTCTGTGGCCACATGAGGTACAGGGACCGTGGCTGGGTGTGGGCGACTGTCTGTCACAGGCGTGTTCAGTGCAAAGGGCGGCAGCATCCCAGCTTCCAGGGCGTTGCGTCCTTCACCTCATGCTCGGTGGGCAGTCAGTAAGGGGTTTGCCCCAACCCGCCAAGATCCGGGCTCCCATCTTGGCCCTGCCTTTTCCCGGGCGAGTGCCCTTGGACGCCTTGCATCTCTGAGCCTCATTTCTTGAGCAGCACAGAAGGCATGGGAACACCTCCCGCCCAGGGCTCTGTGAGCGTCAGCACCCGAATGCACCCGGGCGGGGCGCGTGGAAAGTCCTCAATGAATTGAGAATTTCACGGTTTCCTGTTCTGTGGTTCTCTGGGTAAAAAGATCCCCTTGTTAGGGCCTTTCTGCTGTTTTCTCTGATACAGAGTCCATCCCCATGGCGGAAAGAGAAGGAGGAGGAGGGGGGGGGAGGAGGAGAAGGAGAAGGAGAAAGAGGAGGAGCGGGAGAGGAAAAAGACTGCTTAATCACTGTGTGTGCTCAATAGGCATCTGACACACTCTATGTGCTCCCTACGGTCATTCTCATTCAGTTCTCATTATAACTTTCCATTTTACAGGTGAGAAGACCGAGGCCCAGAGAGGTGACATAGCATCCCCAAAGTCACCCAGCTGGTAGGTAATGAAATCAACCCAGGAAGCGAATACACACAACCTTTAAACTAAGGCTCCTGATAACAAGGAGGCCCGAGGGGCTGAGACGCACACGCTCCAAATTCCTCTCCAAGTGCGACCGCGGCGCACTTGAGCCTATCGGGGCGCTGACAGGTGGAGAGGGTGTTTCGCGCAGGGCTTGGTGAGCACACCGCGGTTCCAGGAAATGCCCGGGGCACCTATTGAAACGCACCCAAGCGTCCCCTTTCTTGGGGGAAAACAGTCTCAAGGTCACTGGATGTGTTCCCAATAGGAGGGCCTCAAAGAGGACAGGGGCCAAGGTCAAGTCTGTGCTGCTTGATCCCCCCCCCCCACACACACACACACACAGTCCGTGCTCTGCCTGGTGCCAGGAAGGAGGAGGAGACCCCTGCTGATACATCACCACCCCCTTGCCCTCTGGCTTCCAATGGGACTCGCTTATAGGAGGCACAGACAGCAGACAGGAGGGAGGGTGGGTTGAGAGGTCAGTCAGGGTGTCTGCTCCCAGCCCCTCCCTGGGAGTGACTTGCTGTGGCTGCAGCCTCACTGCCTCCACCTGCCGCACCTCTGGCCTCGGCAGCCCTCAGGGTGGTGACGGCTGCCACTGTTGCTGGCGGGAGAGCTTTAGTATCCTTTGCTGAGCCCCTTAACCTGCTTACCCCATAAAGAGGTCCGTATTAAACTCCTCCAGAGTGAAAGTCTGGTGTGAATTGATCTTGCCTGATCTAAGGTCAGAGATGGAACTAGAAAGAAAAGATCCTAGTTTCTAATGTCTCTCCCAAAACAAAGTTTGGGGCAAAGGTCAAGGAGAAAAAGTCGAAAGATCTCGAATGGGCTGAGACCCCACCTCGCTCCAGCTCTCCACACAAGACCTGTGTGAAGAAGGGACAAAGTCTGGTCAATGTTCAAATCCTGTTACAGCCTGGCTATGAGGCCATTTAACTTTCCCGAGCCTCAGTTTGCTCATCTGTACAATGGGAATGAGGTCCACCTTCTAGGAGTGTTGAGTGGACAAGGTAGTGGATGGGAAGCAAATCACATAGTGCCTAGGCCATAGTAGGTGCTCAGTAAATTCCTGTTCTCATCTCTGTTCCTGTTCCCTTCTCTAACTTCCCTCTTCCAAATTCCTGTCTTGAACCCAGTAAGTAAGGAGTTAAGAAACAATACAATAATCATCATATCAACACATATCAACCAAGATTGCTTCACGGTTCGCAAAGAAGTTTCGTGGCTGTTATTTCATTTCGAGAGGCAAGTTGAAACTCTTAGGGGTGAAAAGACATGGCCTACAAGTGTCTCCCATCACCTGGATCAAGAACAGAAAGCATCAGCATTTGGATCAAAAAGCAAGAAAATTGGGATTCCTAGAAACCAGAAAACCTATTATTCTCTGTATCAGTTACCAATTGCTCTGAAAGCAACCACCTCAAATATAGTAGCTCAAAGAACCGTGGGAGATTCTTCCTGGTGATTGGGCTGCTGCTGGGGAGTCTTTGGGGTGAGATTTCACAAGACAACCCCCAGCGTAGGTCTGGAGCCTGGCAGCCTCGCTGATGGCTGGGCCCTGAGGTCACGTACACTCTCATCAGTCAACAGTGGGTTGGAGTGTCTGTCCCTGGCACCTGGACCACGGCGGGGTGAGATCTGTAAGATCTCTCACGGCCCAGCGGAGGGCACGCAGGGCATCTCTCCCAGATCCTGTGGGGCAGAGCAAGTCCCAGGAGGGGAAGCAGACCCCACCCACCTCTTGGTGGAAGGCCGGGCAAAAACACACAGTGCAAAGGAACATGGGAGGAATTTTTGCAGCCATTCCTTTTTCTTGTTAATATTTTTTTAATTTCAGAGAGGAAAAGAGAGGGAGAGAGAGAGAGAAACATCAATGATGAGAGAGAATCATTGATTGACTGCCTCCTGCACGCCCCACACTGGGGATCAAGCCCGCAACCTGGGCATGTGCCCT